CGCTTTCCCCAAATTTGCCTTAGGACAAGGCTAAGCGGGTGCCAGAAATACTAGGTTTGGGGTGGGGGCCCCTACTATTAGAGAGGGAATGAAACCCCATTGTACATTGCACTGTTCTCCAGTTAAGCCCCCCCGGTGTAAATGTACGTTGTGCCCAAAATTATTCAAACCCCCCAAAATGCGGTAAAGGGGGTTTTGGGGGATTTAAAAGTGTACTTTTTGGAATTTTGTTTTCAGAATAAAATTTCCTAAAAGGGGACTTTTGAAAACCTCCCAAATGCAACAAAAATAACATCAATTTTTTTAATGTAAAAACAGTATTTAAAAATGGTTCTTTTGGTTTTTTTTTTCTTTTCCCACAATTACCCCAACCCCTTAAAGACACCATCTGAAGAACAGGGGTTCATACAGGTGCTTTCCATCAGGTATTAAAAACCCTGTGGATGTCACCGAGCACAATCAAGCAAAATTTAAGCCCCCAATTGGGAAGTTTTAAAAAATGACTGTGATACTCAGCTCCTTCTAGACATTTACTGGTTGTGTGGTTAACACAAACTGGTGAAGGCCGAAGAGAATGGTCAGGAAGACAAGAGAAGGAAGGTTGATTTCTCTTCCGGAAGGGCAAGGCTTTATAAGAAGATTGCAAAAGATGTTAACATACAGGAGACACCTTAGGATAGCATCATTCGGCAAATTCAAGCATAAGGGCATCTGTTGAAACGCGTGGGGGGCAGGGTCGTGGAGAGGGGAGGGGCCCTTGACTTCGGTACTGACGTACGCTACCTGAAGCGTAGAGTGGAGAGATCGTCCCCGTGTGACTGTGAGAACTGAGAAAGATTTGTCAGATGTGGGTACAGAAGTTTTCAGCCCAGGACAATAAGAACCGCACAATCTAAACATTAAAACTTGCGTAATATGAAAGGCCTCCGTGGCCAGAACTCACCAGGGCGTAACCCCCTAGCTGTCTCACAAAGAATTTAGAAGATTCGAACGTGCAGTATTGGCCAAAAAGCAATGTGGACAAACCACAAAAAGTTGTGGGATCGAGGGGAGTGTTCCTGTGGACTGAAGAAACAAAATTAGAACTGTTTTGGCCCCATGGAATCAACGCTCTGTTTGGAGGAGGAAGAACAAGGCCTATGATTGAAAAAGAACACCTGTGCCTACTGTGAAGCATGGTTGGCAGGGGTCAATTACATGCCTTTGGGTGTGTTTTGCCTTGCTGTCAGGTACAAAGGATATAGCTTCAGCGTGTGCAAAAATAGGTACCATGAATTCTTGTTCTCAGTACCAGGAGATATTGGATGGAAAACGTGATGCAGTCCCGTCACACACCAGAGGCTTTGGGAGACGTTGGGGACCCATTCAACAGGAACGAATGATCCCTAGCATCACCTCCAAGTCCATCTAGAGTCATGGTTGCAGAGAGAAAGGCTGGAACATTTTGGAGTTGGCCATCGGCATTAAGTCACTCCAACATAAAATCCCGATTGAGAACCTTGGTTGGTTTTGGGACTTAAAGGAAGAGCAGAACTTGGCTACGTGCGCACGCCTAAGAATGTGACCTGAACTAGGAGGCCTTTGCCCATTGAAGTATGGCGACAGAAACCCGTAGATCGCTGCAGAGACACTTGTGTCTAGCTATGCATCACAGTTTAACAAGAAGCGTTATATCCTGAAAGAAGGATGCTGTGTACTAATTTACTAAGATTGAATGTCACTTGGGGGATGAATAAAACTTGTAATGCTGTTGAGCACAGAAATGACATTTGTGGTTCATATTCAATTATCACAACTGTTTATGTTATATTTGTCTCGACCTACAAGTGCCTTCTATAATGTAAATGTAAGCAAGCATGAATGAATGATTCAAAAAAGCAATGTCAAAAAAACTGGACCAAGAAACCAGCTTCCAATTTCAGTGGGTGGTTGAAATAATTTTGGACACACACTGTATATCCTTCTACTGTAAACATGGCCAATTATACAGGAACATGTTCAAAACACCTGTCCAGTGTTTCCCACTACCAATGTCCCAGTTAGCAGCATGGAACACACATGTCGTGCCGCAGCGATCAAAAGTGAACTTTGGCTCTTTAATGTCTATGAACTTCCGTACCGTCTTTACCAGGATGGGACCTCTGCACTGAAGTTCTGTTCTATGCTAAGGGACGACGAATGAGGCGTCAAGGAGTTGTCAACAACAACTCCCTGGTGGATAGAGGCAATTCTAACTAGTAACAGGTACACATTTCGACAGGCTGTCTTGCTGACTGTAACCATTCATTGCTCTAGCAATCCACCACATGTATAACTTCCACTAGAAATGACTCTTAACGTGCTGACACTCGTCCTATACCCATTGTGACGCCCAGCTGTTAGAGTGTGTGATAGTGCCAGTTACGTGCAATTGTTACCCTTTTCAAGGACTTCAGACCAGACTGGAGGCAAAGTTTAATGCTTTAATCAGCAGATCGCTAGAGAGTATTAAAGTGCAAACATTACAATATAATCCTAGTCAGACATAACCCATCCAGTAGAGTGTCAAAAAAAGTCAACATCTTAAGTCCCTAAGTCCCTACTTCCTAACTCAGCTACACAGTAGTCCCTTCTGAGGCATTTTCAGCACTGGTACGTCTTTGACAGTAATAGTTTTGGCAACTTTACGCAATCTAGATGGGTAAGTCTATGACATCTTTTGTACACTTTTCAGGTGTAGCTCCCTCTGGGAACTGGGAAACATGGGCAAGTACAGGCAATCACTACTCCAAAACTCTGGACCGCTCGGCCCACCATCCCCTTGTTATATCACATTGTGCAGGTGGGTTCGACCCAAAGATCCCGCCAAAAGAAAAGCCCAAAGAGAACCTGGAAGGGCATTATACCCCTAAACCTCCCTACTGGAGCAGGACTATCTGGCTAATTTCACCTGCCTACATACGTTATACTTATATGCCCTGTGCAATGGTATTGCACAGAGAGGCCCCAAAGTTCGTCCTTCTGGGCCCCCCTGCCAGGGCTGTAGGCTCTTCTCTGTGCACTGATCAGGAAGACTGCTTCTCATTGGGGACACAACTGTGGGCATTGCTTCTGTGCCGGATTGAGTGTGTCTATATGAAACATAACAAGTGCAGCCCACCCCAACCCCCACTCCTGCTGCTGGATTGAGATAGAACTCAGGTAAGTATAAAGGGGGCCGCTGCTAGCGACTATCCTCTCGGGAACATTTTTTAGCCTTAATGCAGAGAATGCATTTTAAGGTAAATAAAAATGTTCTTTATCTCCTAAATAAGTTCAGCACTTCGTAGAAATTCTGGTCAATTGGTATTGTATGTGCAAATAAATATAAGTAGTCAAACAACTACTACACAGATAGGAACATCAGAGAAAGTGAGAAAGCTAAGTCCCATCCAGTTTAGGACATATAAATTGTATTAGAGATCGAATTAGTTAGACAGAGATATCTCTTTAGAATCCAATACTATGCAGGGTTGATGAACCATTTGAAAACTCGGGACACTAGCCTTGTGAGGGCCCAGGGGGTCAATTAGCGGGGGGCCCCTATGAGCAAACTTGCCCCCTGGTACCTTTTTCATAGGCCTTTTTTGAGTTTGGGCAAGGACACAGGGGCGCCCCCATGATCCCCTACTGCCTCGGGCAGGCCCCCCCCCCCCCCCCCCCCCCCCCCCCCCCCCCCAAGCCCCCCCCCCCCCCCCCCCCCCCCCCCCCACCTGGCCACCATATGAGTTTGTCAGTCCGCCACCTGATACTATGTATTGTGTTGCTACGCCCTGCATTGCTTGTATAATAAATACATCTCTACTTTCCAATCTGGCTTTCAGCAGTCAAAATTTATCAAAACCATGGGTATAGGTTTCCCCCTTCAGGGAGAATGGCTGGGTGTTCACAAACTTCTGCGCTCACATAGTGTATTTATAAGGTCCTGATTGCTTTCATAACATTCTCTTGGCTTAGTAACCTTCGCTTTTTCTCTAGTTCCTTTTGGCATTTTGTAAGTTTTCTCTGTAATCAAATGTAGTACTCATCCTGGATGAGAGAGATGAAATAGACAAAGGTAAACAGACTAAACAGAAAAGTAACTAAAATTCTCCACTAGTACACAATTCATTATCTTGATAAATCCATGGTCCCCTTAAAAACTCTCTGCTTTTTTAATGGGCAGAACACAGGAGATTGCTTTATCCACTTGACCTCCAGAAGGCCTCTTTGCGCGCGGCCATTTTTCACTGAACAGACGCCTTTTTTGCGATTACGCGGCGTTGTGTTACCTAGCTCTGTTACTTGACAATTGCGCAGTCATGCAACGCTGTACATTAAATGAAATTTATGTAATTTTTTTCCTCACAAGTAGATGATGTCTGCTTGGTGCCCCGTATTTGATCACATCTGCGTAAATGCTTTTTGAGTTACAAACGAAAAACAAGACTGATTTAAATATATATATATATATAATTATATATAGATAATACAGTTGTGACCTAATAAATTATTCAACCCCCCACTGAAATTGAGTGTTTTGGCCAGTTTGACATTGCTTTGATCATTCAGAATCTAGGTCATCTTGCTTACATTTACATTAAAGAGGCATCATTGTAGGTCAGACACAATTATAACATAACAGTTATTTATGAATCATAGTTGCACAAATGTCTTTTCTGTGCTCACAGCATTATCAGTTTTATTCAACCCCCAATGACATTCAATCTAGTACTTAGTACAGCATACAGATTTTTTACAGTTATAACAGCTTTTTAAAACGTGAAGCATCAGCTTGACACAAGTGTCTTGCAGCGATCTACGGTATCTTCGCCATTTCTTCATGGGCAAAGGCCTCCAGTTCAGTCACATTCTTAGGCTTGCGCACTGCAACAGATCTTTCTTTAAGTCCCACCAGAGGTTCTCAATCGGACTTAATTTAAGTCTGGTGACTGCGATGGCCACTCCCAAAATGTTTCCAGCCTTTCCTCTGCAAACCATGCTCTAGTAGTGGACTTGGAGGTATGCTTGGGATCATTGTCCTGTTGAAAGGTCCAACGTTCTCTCCAAGCCTCAGGTGTGTGACGGACCTGCATCACGTTTCCATCCCAATATCTCCTCCGGTACTGAAGAGAATTCATGGTACATTGCACACGCTGAAGCTTCCCGATGTACCTGCAAGAAGCAAAACAGCCCCAAAGCATGATTTGACCTCCAACCATGCTTCACAGTAGGCAAGGTGTTCTTTTCAATCATAGGCCTTGTTCTCTTCCTCCTCCAAACACCACTCTAGCGTTGATCCATGGCCCAAACAGTTCTAATTTTGTTTCATCAGTCCACAGAACACTATCCCACAACTTTTGTGGTTTGTCCACATGGCTTTTGGCATACTGGCAGTCGACTCTTCTTATTCTTTGGAGACAGCAAGGGGGTACGCCTGGGAGTTCTGGCACGGAGGGCCTTCATTACGCAGTCGTGTCTTTTGTTCTTATGACTCTGGGCTGAAACTTCTGTACCCACATCTGACAAATCTTTTTCTCAGTTCCTCAGCAGTCACACGGGGACTATCTCTCCACTCTACGCTACCGCCTTCAGGTAGCGCGCACAGCAGTCGAATCATCAGCATCTTCTTTCTGCCACGACCAGGTAGCGTTTCAACAGTGCCCCTTTGCCTTGAATTTGCGACCATGGATGCTTCCTAAGGTGTCTCTTGGTATGTTTAACATCTTTGCAATCTTCTTATAGCCAGTTTGCCTACGCTTCCTGTGAAGAGAAATCACCTCTTCTCTTGTCCTTCCTGGACCATTCTCTTGCCTTCACCATGTTTGTAACACACCGGTAGCCCCAGTAAATGTCTAGAAGGAGCTGAGTATCACAGTCATTTTAAAGCTGCTATTGGTGCTTATTTATGCTTGATTGCTGCTCTCGGTGACATCCACAGGTGTTTTTCAATACTGATGGAAAGCACCTGTATGAACCTCATGTTCTTCAGAGTGGTAGTCTTTAATGGGTTCGTTTGAATAATTGTGGCAATGAAGAAAGAAACCACATAAGAACCATTTACTACTGTTATTACATAAACAATTGATGGTCATTTTAGTTGCATTTGGGTAGTTACAACGTCCTTGCCTAAAAAATAAGACTCACTTGCATCCGAAAGGTAAGGATTTGATTCTGAATACAATTTCTCAAAATGTACACTATAGTCCATAAACCCCCTTTACAGCATTTGGGGGTTGAATAATTTTGGTCACAACTGTATATATATATACACACACACACTTTATTTTCTGCTATAAAACCCTATCAAAACAAAATTTTAAAAAAATCGAATGTCTTCATAAATTTCGGACAGAATTTCTGCTACATATTTTTGGTGTTAAAACGATCCCAATAAGCATATTTTTGATCTGTTTGGCGCAAAAGTTATAGCGTCACAAAACTATGGTACATATACTGGAATTTTAAAAAACATTTTTTTTTTAATATTAGCAATGGGGTGATCAACTACTATATAGCGGGACTGCAATATTGTGGCAGACATTTTTATATTAACTGACACTAGCTAGACACTTTGTGGGAACCAGTGACACCAATACAGTGATCAGTGCTATAAATATGCACTGTCACTGTACTTATGACATTGGCTGGGAAGGGGTTAAACATCTTGGATGATAAAAGGGTTTAACTGTGTGCCTAGCTATGCGCTTGGTGTACACTAGTAGTGCTTTTGCAAGGGGAAGTGAAGGATACATGATTGCAGGGACACACGATTCTTCACACCCCCCCCCCCCCCCCGACCAGGCAGAGCTCTGTTCTGTGTCGCTCGCCCCAACGATTGGCAGGTGCCAGCAGATGTCTGTTCACCGGCACTCGCAGATCGGCTTCTGCTGTGAGTGTTAACAGCAGAAGTGATCCGCCGGCCTCCCTATGATGGAAGTGCAAAATCACATACTGTATAAAGCCAAAATTCCAGTTACATTTTTAACCCACTGCTAAGCTTTTGCACCCTGCACTACAAGTGATGATAATGCTGGGGTGCGGGGGGGTTGAGGGGAGGGGATGTATTTCCAATCTAGAGTTGGGATTTTAAACAGGGAGCAAGTCACAATCCTGCTTCATCAAATGTAGCATGCAGAAAAAACCTCAGATACAAAATTGTATTAATAAATGTAAATAATAGTATAACACAGTATCCAGACTACTAGTACTTTCAGAAGAAGGTCAGTAATTGAAGCCATCTTCATTATCTCGCTTATCATTCTAATCAACAAAATTCTGTAAGACACTGTAGTACAATACATACCCGGCTATTGGCAGACGCAAACATGTCACCCTCAAAAAAAACCCTCTTAGCATACGCCACCAGGTTCTCCATGCGTCGATCTCTCATGGCAGCTGGATCAGAGCACGGAAGATTGCCTGGACCCTGTAATTAGAATAACATTGGATAACATTCACATATACTAATTACCTTAGGGGAATTCAGTACAATTCAGTTTCTTAAACCTACAGTATAGCCCAACACTATTTCCCTACTGAGATTCACTTACAGTCTGTAGACAATGTGATTTCGAAGATCCTGAGTCACGTGTTGGTGCCAGGCTTTCCTCACCCCTGAAGCGCACTCAGCAGTTGGTATAGTGCCCATGTTGCCATCTTGCCTGTGATTATTTACATAATTCAGTAAAGAAGTGAAATGAGAAAATGATAGCAAGCATTAACTATGGGCATTTTTCATTAGCAGAAATATACAGTAGCCATTGTGAGTCTATGAAGGGGACCAGTCACCTATATAATAGATCACATGTAGTGAAGTGTGGTTTTGGCAATGGTCTATGCTCTGCCAGGTGCGGTGGGGTGGGGAGTGCCATTATATTCCCAGCTGCTTACTCTGCATTTGGGCCAATGCGGGGAAGAGATGAAACCCAGCCTGGATTCAGATTCTGAAGTTGGCAGCTGTGCTGTGCCTGCTGCACAATATGAATCTGGCTGGCTGTCCTTTCCTCCTAATGTGCTGAATGAAAGAGGCTTAGATGACAGCTGGCTGGATTCACTCTGTTGTATTGGGTGTTCCAATACTTTTGTCAATATAGTGTATGTCTGTGTGACCAAGCTCTGAACAAACAACCTTACTTCTGTCCTTAGCGACAACAGTTCTGCACCTTTACACGTTATGCCAGTCGTTGTGGCTTAATCCGAGGGTCTGACCCTATGATCATAATGTGTAAGGGGGAAAAAAAACGGTGGTGTCACGATGCTAAGAAGGCTAGAATCCAATGTATATTTCTGGTTATTCTAAGTATAGGGATATCACATACTGTATGTAAGACTTTTTTGCAACCTAGCTACATAAAGGGACCTAAAATCCAAAAAAGCACCCTCAAGCTTTCAAGAGGTATCAATTAGGCATCTCATTACCTGACTATTTATCACAGGTTTGGAGGCCCAGGAGTGCCAGGACAGAAGAAATACTCACAAAATGACCACATTTTGAAAAGCAGGGACACCACAAGGTATTTTTTAGGAGACATAGTAAGCCTTTTGAAGATTTAATTTTTTTGTCACAAGTTTTTTGAAAATGAGTAAAAAGAAATGAATTCTGTTGCAAGTTGTAAATTAGGTTAGGTTAATTCCTAACACACAGTAAGGATATACTTAGAAAGAAAGCAGAATGTTTTTTGGGGTGTATTTCTCTAAGTATGGGGTATACCACATACAGTATGTGAGACATAGAGGGGCCAAAATCCAAGGAGCACCTCCAAACTGACTACCTATCACATTTTGGAGGCCCTGAATCACCAGGACACCCACAAAAAAAAGTATTTTTTATGGTAAAAATGGTGAGTCTTTGTGAGGATTTAATTTTTTTTGCCACAAGTTTTTGGAAAGTGCATAAAGAAAATAAAAATTTATTTTTTTTACACAAAGTTGTCAATTTAATAAGATGTTTCTTACACACAGCATGAGTATACTTAGAATTACATGCCAAAAAACATTACACATATGTGAGACTTTTTTAATGTATTTTTATTTATTATGTATTGAACATTGTATCTTGTGTATCACAAAAATCAACCAACATTGTATCAAAAAAACATACTGTAATGCCTCTGTAAAAGTGGTCAGGGAACAGAGCTTAGTGCAGCTTCACCTATAGCAGTTCCCATCCTATAAGCCAAGCAAAGCTAGCCTACTGGTACATCGATTTCCTCAGGAATTATACTCTGCTATGTTCACTGGCCAGAAAGTGTAGGACGTTGAGCAAAGGGTGAACAAAAGAGTTCCTGTGGTCCAGAAGTGCAGTTGTCAGCAGAACATGGCTGGGATTGGTGACTTGCAGGAACTTAGTCAGTGGGATATGCAGATGGATCAGTTCAGGCAGCAGGCAGAGAGGTGGTTGTCAAACAGGCAATGGATCAGTCCAGGCAGAGCAGGCAGAAACATGGTCAATACACAGGCCAGGGTCAGCACAGGTGGCCAGGCGGAGGCAACACTGCATTAGTATGGCAATGATTAAGACCACTGTTGCTGGCTGCACTTTTAGGCAGGATTGCCTACTGTTCTGAGCCTGGTTGAGGTTATTCAAAGGGGTGCATGTTGTTCTAGTGTATCAAAAGAACTTGGGTCAGTAAAGCACAAGTGGGGCATGGAAAAAGCTCCTACAAAAGTCTAGCAGGAGGATCAATGGAGTTGCTATGGGTAACCAAGTACTAGTGCAAGGTACATCACAGCCAGTCATGAGGCGTGCTACCTGATCCAGGTAAACCTCAGTAGCGTGGGAGGTCTGTGTTTCTGGTTCCCTTCGCAGCAGTCAGTCTCCCAAAGGAACCAGGACTGAACCCACGTTAAGGAGATCCTTAGCCTGATCACATGGTACAGGAGCAAAGGATTTATCAAGTACACACATGAGGTCTGAGTGCACGGCAGACCCCATTCTGTTTTCTGGGAGTGAGGTTAAAGAGGTTCGCTGGACTGGTGTAGAGGGCTCGGGCTCAGAAGCTGCCCTCCTAAATGCTACATACAGGCAATGTGTGTATCGACTTGGGACAACACTTTTTAGAGGAACTCTGTACATTTTATTACTGCACACAGTGGCAAGGATCATCTCTAATTTGGGGAACTTCCATAATGTTTGATTTGACTGCAGCCTACACCTTGTCCTAAGCATTGATGAGCACAGCCACATCAAGGCCCCCCCACGTGCAGTTCAAATGTCCCCATCCACACACTGGCTCTGGTGACACTGAACTGATGTGTTGGCAATCAGGACACTTTTGATGGCTGCACTGCCTCTGGTGACACTGGCAATGGTGTGGCTAGCAATTAGGAACAGGAACATCGTTGCTGGCTGCACTTGTTTGGTGACACTGTCAATGGTGTAGCAGCAATCAGAAACATGGTTGCTGGCAGCACTGGTTTCGAGTCATGGTACTGGTGTGGCTAGCAATCAGGAACACTCTTGCTGGCTTAAACTGGCCTGAAGACTGAGACTGGTGTGACAGTGAACAGGAACAATGTTGTTTGGGGTCAATGGAACTCATGTGGCGATGATTAGGGACATTGTTCCTGGCTGCACTGGCTGTGCTGACACTGGGACTGCTGTGGCAACAATCAGGTACACTCTTGCTGGCTGGCTAGTCTGGGTCACTGGCACTGGTGTGGCATCTAACATGAGCACTGTTGCAGCCTGCACCAGTCTGGAGAACACTGGAACTGGTGGGAAGGAGGGGTGATCAGGAAACACTGCTGCTGGCCTACACTTATCTAGTAATACTGGGACTGGTGTGGTGGTGATCAGGAACATGGTTACTGCCTTCCACTAGTCTGGTAATACTGAGACTGGTGTTGTTGAGGATTAAGAACACTGTTCTTGTCTCTCTGCAGGCTGAAGACCGAGAGCTCAGCGTTCAGCGGTGTTTGATCACTCAGTTCTCGGTCCCCTAGACCCAGTGGGGGACAGATGCAGTATTAGACCGATGCTGCATCCACCCAGGGGAGGCCCAAAGTAGGCTCAGCAGCCATGATTTCTTCCTTTGTGTCCACCGTGGAGCTTGCAGTTCCAGGAACCTATGCATGGGAGGCATCCACAGAGGACTCTGCACTCATGGCCGGAGAAAGGGTGACAGGAGTGGATGGCTGGTCTCCATCTGCCATGCTGAACCCCATCGGACAGGCCTCTACTCCTGCGCTGTTGCATACTGCACCAATCTGGTGACACTGGGACTGGTGTGGCAACAGTCAGGTACAATCTTGCTGGCTGCATTAGTCAGGTTCAAATCAGTAGTCAAAATGCAGGCAGAGCTCAGAGAGTAGTCGATGTCAGATTCAAGGACGTCAATGACCAAATCCAGACTAGCAAGCAGGGCAGACAAACAAGGAGCTTGGAGCATATGTTACAAATGAAAATATCACAAGCATGAGACTGCAGACTTGGCTGGCTTAAATCAGGTTTAGTCTCCAGCCAGAGACTGGCCACATCAATCAGCTTGCAAGTGGACAGACAGGCAGACAGACGGGAGAATGTATTATATCCCAAACCAGGATGCTAGAATGAGACTAGCAGCTGAGATGGAGCAGGAGCGCTCCTAACGGGACACACTGCCCATTCTGGAGTTGTACTGTGATATTCCCCCAGAGTTGTACCAAGGAGTTACTTTGCAATATGCTACAAGGTGGAGTGATCCAGGAAATTTGCAGCTCCTTGGCCGCTTCCATTGTACTGGTGCTCAAGAAAGACAACAGTTTGCGGTTCTGGATGGACTATCGCAAACTGAACGCATGCAGCCACAGGGACACCAACCCCCTTCCTTGAGTTGAGGAATCCCTGATGGTACTTGGACAAGCCAAGTTCTTCTCCATCTTGAACCTATCCAGTGGCTACTGGCAAGTCTCTTTATGAGACCAAGACAGGGGAAAAAAAAAAAAATCGCCTTTATTACACCCTGGGATAGTTCGAGTTTAATTACATGCCCTTCAGCCTCAGCAACACTCCCCAGCACCTAATGGAGAGATGTCTTGGGGATTTCAATTTTGAGACTGATGGTTTACCTTGATGACATTATCATCTTCTCCAAGACGTTTGCTAAAATGTGAAACATCTGGACCAAGTGTTCTCCTGTTTGGCTCAATATGGACTAAAACTCAATCCCAGCAAGGGCCACCTTGTGAGGCAAAAAGATACAGTAGTTGGAATATGTTGTCAAAGCCGGAGGCGTGACCCCATATCCAGGCAAAGTACAAGCTGTCCAAGATTGGCACCCACAAAACCATCAGGGAGTTACGCTCCTTCTTGGGTCTGGTAGAATATTACCAGCGTTATATCCTTATCCTGAAGTTTACCCAGACAGCTGCCCTACTTAATCAGTACCTGGAGGAAGGATGGACCCTCCCCTTCCATCCAAACCCAATGGTACGCATCCCATCAGCAGACCTTTGAGACACTTAAGCAGAAACTGACTTCTGCCCCATTACTGGCCGACTCAGACTACACCCAGCCCTTCCAGGTGTACATGCACAGAAGACTCCAGGGACCAGGTGCTGTCCTGGCCCAGTTGCAGGATGGCCAAGAGAGGGTGATTGCATATGCCAGCAGGAGCCTACTCCCTGCTCACGAGGGCCGACATTGGAGTCTTTACTGACAACAACCTGCTGACC